ATATTTGCTAAAGAATTCCCCAAATCCCACAGCTTCCACACTTGACATAATTTTCAAGTTATTTTCTACTCAACAAAGTCCCCAATCCCCCAATCCCAATCACCGAAAAACATTCATAATTCTAGGCAAATACAAAAAAAATAGAGTCAAACCAAAAGATAAACTTCAAAGCGGCAGCGTACATTTCGTGGCCAAACCTCATGCATCGGGGGAACAGGTACAGGGACACAGAGACGGGACTCACTTCGTTTAAGCCATTGGAGCGTGACATTAAAACCAGAGTCAGAGAAAAAGAGGGGGCGCCAGACTGGGGGAGGCGTACAAATCTGTTGACCGAAAGGGAATCGCAGTCGTCCGACAATTGACAGTTACATGAAACGCGCAGCAGCAGCAGTGGCAGCAGGAGCAATATTTACAGTGAAGAATCGTTCAGAAGCTGCTGAACCTGCTGCTGCTGATGCCGCTGCTGATGGTGGTGCGGGGTAAAAACCAATTATATGTAAGCCTGGCTTTTAGGACAGATGTGGCCAATGCCACTGTAGCCTGTCTCGTTCCAGTCGTTGCCAGTTGTAATTTGACAAAGATTGAATATCCCAATGTATGTAATTTTCAATTTGGAACAGAACCTCAAAGCGAATGACACACAGACCAGAACGCCAGACCAAAAACACTAAGCAGGTTTATTTCTGAATTATTTAGACAGAACATTAGGCTGGTCCTCAGGTTACGGTCACTGCTCGAATGTCCTGCCATTAACTTTAATTGCAACTAAACCGAAGCAAAATCCACATGTGTGTGTCAGCAACAGGCAGAACAGTTTCTTCCAGGCTTAGAAGCCTGGGCGGATAGTAAATGCAAATATATTTGAGTGCAGATTAATCCAGCACAAACAATCGACAAATATGATTAGTTACTTTGTGACTCTGATTAGAAACTTTCCCAGTAAATCGCTGCAAAATGCAATTGACTTCTTAATTATGCGTTTTGTGGTTTATGTTTAAAGTTTTGTGTGGGAATATTTATATTATCTTGCAGTTTATCTGCTTTAATTTGCTCTGCAAATCGAACTTAATTTAAACCTAACCGAATGTGCATTTTATCACTTAAAAAATGGTTTATTTTATGATATTTTCTGGTATCGAGAAATTGAACTTTAGTCTTGAAGTGAATTCACATTTGAAGATTTGAAGCATTAGTTTCCCAATCAACAAACAAGCAAAGCCAACAATCTTCTTAGCGCTTCACGCACAAAGAGATTATCCTTTTGATGTGGCAAGTGACGCAGATGAAGCAAATGAAGCGTGTGGCCATCACACGCATATATAACTAGAACCTCACGAAGTGGATGGATTCTTGCCACAGTTATTGCCACTGCCACCACCAACAACATCACGTAATTCCGTTAATGAGAGGCTCATTGGATGGCTAGGCTCTGATGCTGCTGCCACCAGGATTACGAATTAGATGTGTTCTCCGGCTAAGTGGTGGACTTTTGTAGTGAAAAGTATTTTAAAGTCCTGCTCCTCCCCTGTCCAGCAATTAGCTTACAAGGCAGCAGGTATTAGTGCTGAAGGGCTTTTCCCGGGACGCATATGAGATGTGGCTATAGCATGAAATACTGCCTGCTATTGCAGGCAGGCCCCCAGGGTCTGGTTACTACGCCGGAAACCGAGCTTTGGAAGTCATGTCGGTGTGGAAGTGGCACAGCTGGCGTGGCTAATTGTAGACAAATCCATTATGCAAATGGGTGGACTTCAAGAACCCCTCCCCCCGACATTTAAACGGCTCTTCTTGCTCATGTTCTGGCAAAAAGTATAAAAAAGAGGAGAAAACGAGAGAACCCTCACGCGTTGCCATGACATTCGGTTGCCAACGCACGAGCCTCTGGTCTCTGCAGAAGCAAGGCACAGGCTCATCGTGGGATGAGGAATCTGTTTTTATATGGTGGTTCCTCCCCGCATGCCACTCTCAGTGCAGTGCAGAGTTTTTTCCAACGCGTTGAAGGTCTCTCACCATCCTTCAACCCTTTGAAGAGCATCCCAGAGCAGCAGTTTTTCGCTTCCCTCGCCCTATAAAGTTTTTCAATCAATTTCATGTGAAAAGTTTTGAAGCGGCGGCCAGGAAACAGGAGGCCAGCCAGCAAAAGGGCTAAAACGGGAGCACCATTCACCAAAGGCGTGGAGTGTAAAAGGAATCATTATTATGGTGTCTTTCATGAATGATTTCTAGTGTATTTTAGAGCTAATTAAGATGCAGAACTTGACAGGATTCGCTGTGGAAAAAGGCAAAACAAAACGGAAAATGATTGTAGAAATATCGAAAAAATGGAAATCCAAAAGAAAAATTATTATTCGCTGTAGTAAATGGAAAGGGGTCAAAAATAGGAGCATAGTCATAGAAACGTCTGTAAATCTGGGAAGAAAGGGAAATTAAAGACATTTTGGGGCAGACAGCAGCTGGCACTTTCGATATCTCTAGGAATCGTAACATAATGCATAGTTTTGATGCCCTGTAAGTGACTAAAAGGTCTCAAAAGGGAGGAACATTTAGAGGAAGGTTTTTCCAAGCCCATAACAAATATATTTTCACAAAAAGAATCAATAACTGAAGTCAATTTAATATTTAGTACAAAAAAATTTAAATAAAATTGCTTTTGATATTGTTTATTTTAACCACTTTCAGCCATTTCTAAGACAGTTGCTTACGCATTTCCCTATTAAAGGATATCCCACAGTCTAAATGCCTTTCCTCCTACTTTTAGGTCTACGAATCTCTCCAGAAGTCGCAGCACGTTCCAATAATTGCCAAAGTTTTAGTAATTTTTTTGTGTGCCGTTCGTTCGCCTTAACTGCCTTCGATAAAATGTGTTTATGAGAGCGACCCTTCAGCCTCCTGCCAACAGTCTACAGTCTCCCGACTGCTCATTCCGTCTCCACCAGCTGTTGCTGGTGCTACCCACTGCTGCATTTTATGAGCCATTTCTAGGAGAGTTAGAAGGAGCAAGCGAGAGAAAGGCCAAAAGTTTTGTTGGGGAATTCATATTTAATTGAGCAACGGATAGAATTAACAGTTGAATGGAAGAAGAAGTGGCAGTGGCAGTGGCATTGGAAGGCCAGCAATTGTAGCTGTCAAAACGCAAAGGCATTAATTACAAATATTGTGGTGGGCGGGGGTTGCAGATTAGAGGAAAATGGGAAATATTGTTGCTCCAAAGAGTGGGAGGGCGGACAATGGCCCTCGCATTTAACTTAAAGGTAAACCCAAAGGCAGGCGTCAATTGAGTTAATTAGGAGATTAAGAGGGGGAAACAACCTTTGAATGGGTTAATAATTCAATAAGACAAGAGAAAATCATGAGAAGAGAAAGCAGAACAAGGAGAAAGCCAATAAAGAGAAAGAGGAGAGACCGGGGGAGGTTCAAAGATGATTATTATACGGGCAAAGAGGTTGAGAAATGATTATTATTTGGTGTAAAGGGTTAAAAGGGGTCTCAAATACGATGGAGAAGAGGATGTTAAGGATGATTATTCGTGAAAATATAATTATTATTCGCTGAACCATCAAAATAATTTCCCAGAAAAGAACCAGTAAAAGTTATGTTTAGCGTGAAGCCAAATTCCAAATGAAGTGCTCGGAGTTGCCTTCCGAGTGTTTCGACCGCAGGCCAATTGTCTTTACAGACAACCATTTCGGCTTATCAGAGTGTTCTCCCTGCTGGCCACAGTGCAAGTGCCACACAATGCCATGGAGAGGACAGAGCAATCGTTTCTATTTTCTGCAGGAACTGCAGGAAAAGTTGTGGCAGACAGCACAGAGATTTCTACACATTCTCTGTAGAAGAGAAATTGTTCGCCCTGCTGCAGCGCTTTCACCATCTCCTCTTCGTCCTTCGACTTAGCTCTTTCTCCCATTTTGAAACGCCTCTCTTGTTTCGAGCCATAATTTTCTTTGTGGCCCATTGCTCATGCTTATTGTTTTGAATTCCATTCCACTCTTTAGTTTGCTCTCTCACTCTTTCTGCCTGGCTGAACTTTTCCCTCTGCGGTTTGCCTTTTCATATTCTCCTTTTTTTTTGGGGCTAATGCAAATTAAACTTTTCTGTTCAAATATGTTGTTACCCCATAAAGTTGTGATCTCTATTGGCTGGCTGCTGGCTGCTGGCTTTTCATTCTTGGCTTAAATGAAAAATAATTGGAAAAACTTGCCTGAAATTATGTGCACGGAAGAACCGCCCTTTCCAAGTTTTCCCCCTCAATTGAAACACACTTTCCGACTGTTGTTTAATTAATTATATTTAATATTTAGTTTTTCATTTGTCTAAACACTAAAACCTTCGTTCATCTTGCATCAGAGAAGAGCATTTCATTTATGACTTGTAGCTTATTTCAGCTGCTGCTATTTTATGCGTAAAAAAACTAAATTAAGTTTAGTTTTTGTTTTGTTTAGTAGTTTAAATCACACTTAAAATATGCATTTATTTATTTAATCATATAACAATAAACAAATGAATATAAATAAGTGGGTATTCTTACTTTTAGCAAGCACTGTGGCAACATTATGAATTTAGTTTAATTTCTATATTTATATGAATTTTAGTGCTAATTATATGGCATCCACTCACTCTCTATATATCCCTCTCTCGCTCTCTTTCCCATCATTAAATAGCTACATACATTTTATTTAATGTTATTCCATATGTTTTTTTCTATTTAATTTATTTTCTGTTTATTTTTTGTCATGTAATTCTTTTTTGCGGTTATTTGATTTATTTATTTATTCAATTTATTCAAACGATTGGATACGAAATATTTGTCAGGGGCTCATTTTGCTGCACAAATACTTCAATCATCAATCATTATTTATGCGTGTCATTTGATGGGAGAAGAGATTTTCATTTAATGCATTTTATTTAGGGGGAACAATTTGCATTTTCAAACAGTTTTCCGTGACAAAATTTAATTTTAAAAATCTGCAAAAATTTGAAAAAGTGCGCAGTATTCCGCATCAATTTTCGCATAAAAGAAAAACCTATTTTCCGCCAGGATTTTCCCAATATAATACGAGTAAAAGGAAACCTATTTATTTAACGTTTCACAGCCTCTGCTTCCAAATAAAGAACTCTTAAAATATAAACCCCGTCCGCAAGCAATAATTTTACCATGAAAATTCCCTCATAGAATAAGCTACAACACACACACACACACTTACACACTCACACACATTTAATCCGTATATCCGTATGTGTATCTATGAAATATATCAGACATTTATTACATTCTCATCTCTTCATTTGGTATTCCATCGAAATCGTTGCCAACAAATTCGTAGTTCTGTAGCGCACACGCGTATTGCATGTTGCATACTTTTTTTTTTAGTTGTTGATGGATATTCGAGTGGGAAAACTATGGAAAACTCTGAATGAAAATGCAGCTGAGCAATTTCCCAATTTAGATGTTCATGGAGCAAGCGATGCGTAGGAGTGATTTCAGTTGAATTTTATTACAGTTTTTATGATCTTTCAAGGGTCTTGTACCTCGCGAAAAAAGTATGCAAATGCTTTGTGTTTTGCTTTAGCTTACTGCCTAATAAATGGGTTTATTTTAGACGGAAACTAGAGAGAAATCTTATCTAGTTTAGACAATTAACTAGGAAAAACCATTCTTTAGACTTTATCTAGTTGTACCTCACAGCTGGGTGGCCTCACGACTTGTGGGCCTCTGCACTACGCCATTGTTGGAGCCTCCTCTGTGGTGCATAAACGATGATCCGTGGCACCACTGGCCTTGTCCACCACAACGACAATTGCATGGAACTGCAGTGCCATGGGATCTGTCTCCAATCCACTTTCTGCTACCGCTCCTCTGTCTGCACGGAATCCACCTTCGGCAGCGTCTCTCCTTCGTTTGAGGAGACTCAACAGACGGCCCAACATTCTGCTGGGATTTCTATGCTACAGATTCGTCACTTGAGTGGTGCTCGTCGTGGTGGTGACACCTGCAGTCACAATTTGCCGCTGCTGTAACGCCGGAGCCACTGCCGAGCGTTCTGCTCGAGAGGCGGCCACCTCATCCTGGGCCACTGGCAGCCAATTGTCGAGGAACTTCGGTCGGAAAAGCAGGGTGAATGTCGTACGGAACTGTTTGCTCATCGAGCAATACAGAATGAAGTTGATGCTGGAGTTTATTAGGGCCAAAATGTCCATTAAATCACCTGGAAAAGGAAGGAAAAGAAAGGGAAATGTAATTAGAAGAGGAACCCCCAAAAGGAAGGAAAAACTTACTTAATCTCAGGTAGCACTGCAGAAAAAAGGCATCGCCCAGTAGCGCATTCATCAGACCCATGATGCCCTGTGGAAATTCGGTAATCAAAAAGAGCAACAGCACCGCCAGCAGCATGCGAGTGGTGCGATCCGTTTGCTTCTCCTTCTCCAGCAGTTTGCTATTCTTTCGGGGTCGCTCAGCGGATTTTCCATTCACCAGAGGTTTTCCACTGCCATTTCCATTGGTAGTCGAGGCCACAGCGGGTGTGGGCGGTTTGCTGGTGAGCTTCTTCCTACGCTGCTTGGCCTCCAGCAGGGCCATAATCAAGCGCACTGAGAGAATTGTCAGAGCAATGCAGGGTATCAGTTTGATGACCACGCTGTAAATCAAGAAGGTGGCATTCTGCAGGGAGGCATTGTGCAGTGCCAGATCGCTGTGGTACAACCGATAGACGGTGACATTTCGCACCACCAAAGAGGCAGGAGGTGCCACAGGAGCAGGCGTAGAGTTAGTAGGCGCTGCTGTGGCATTAAACCACAAAGTTTCAGTGAGATTTAGGCTCTGTGGAGTTGCATTTAATGCTGCCACTTTAACGCTCATCAATTCATTCCGATAGTCGATCACATACTGCGTCAAGGGTATCGAATTGACGACCTTTCCCATCGAATCCAATTGATCCATCCATTCGGTGATGGCCGTAATGAGATACAGCGACGGGGAGACAACCAAAACACACACCACATATGCCGTGAAGATCGTGATGATGGTGGTCCGCATGCCGCACCACACGCGATTCTTTTGGGGATAGCCCACCGCTATGTAGCGCCACACGGCCAGCGTGACTGTCAGCCAAATGGATATGGTGTGCAGGACCTGGGCAAATATTGAATGGAAATTGATGAAGCAGGCCCAGCCATAGCTCAGCTTCTGTTCCCGTGGCAGGCTGTCTGTCAGGATAAAGTCATGGATCGTATAGGGTATGTACTCGAGCATCACGGCGAGATCGGCCACCGCCAGGCCCGTGAGTATCGCATTCGTCGGGGAGCGCATCTCCTTGCGGGTGAGCACAATTATGTTGAGAGTGTTTGCTATCGTTCCCAAGATGCAGACCACCAGGGAGACATAGCCATGCATGTTCTTGTAGCTGCGGGAGGGAAAAGGGGGAAAGTAATCCAAATTATATTCGAGTTATTATGTTCCAGTTAGCCCTAACTTTCGGCCTTAGATCCCCCCAGCAATAAAACCATCCGAAAAAAATCGTACGTTTCCGTTTGCAGAATTTCCCGTCAGTTGCAGAGGGGTAGGGGAAGCCCCAACAGTCAACAGGCAATAAAGTGGCTAAAGCCCAAGGCTCTAGCTTATTCCGTTTGCTCCACGATGGAGTAGGTGGAACGGCGTATGTCCGCCTACTTTGGGGATAAACATTTTACTGCCTTTACGTATACTTTGGTGCCTTTGTTTAGTTTGTCGTCGTGCTTCTGGCACTCTTCGCGCTCTCTCTCTTACTCTTTTTGAGGCCACAGAAAACAAAATGGAAGAATTGTGGCATAGTGCGGAGGAGGACAAACAGCCAACAGCTCAGATCTGCGGCAAAAAAAGTTTTTCGGGTGAGCCAAAAAATGTGTGAGCGTGAAAAGGGCTGAGAAAGTGCCAGAGCAAAATGTTTTTAAAATAGGAAATACAAAAATATCATAAAAAAACCGAGAAGTATCACAAAATTACATACAAAATACTCGGAAAAGTGTTAACTTTTACCAAAATTCAATTCTTGCAACCACAAGAAAATTCTTAAAATAAATAAAAATAAAATTCATTTAAAAGTACTAAAAACAAAACTTGATACAAAAAAGTCCATCCACAAAATGCAACAAAAAACCAAACCACCTTCAAAATTCAGAGCAGCGGGAGCTTTTAACGCTAAAATTCTCCAGCTTTGGCCCTTTGGCCCTGCAGAGTCACCACAGCCAGCGTCACACGTTTTCCTTTGTTTGTTGTTTGCTTTCCTGCTGCTGTTGCCACAAGCCCAGCCCCCCCTGCTGCTGTGTTGCAACCACTAGCACTAAGGCTCTGCTGCCACCGCTGCTGTTGCATGCACAATTTAGACTTAGAATACAATTTATTATGAAAATCTAAAGCCACACACACAGCCAACCAGCAGCCTCCTGCGATTTTGCATTTAAGCCACAAAAATGTTTAATAAACTTACTGCCCCCAATGTGACAGTCACACTCTCCGTGAGTGAGTGAGTGACAGCTGTGTCCTGTCTCTGCTGCAGGTGTCTTCTACGTGTCTCCTGTCAGGACTTTGGTTAAATTGTTTATTGCTCGCCATGTCCCCCAAGCACGATGCAATTATTTTGAAATTCAAACCAGAAAAACTTCATTCTATTTTAGAAACAAAAAACTGCAAGAGGTCCACAAATATCCGAAGCCAAATATTTACCAGCACATTTTAATTTGTTTGAGAGGCTCTATAAATTGGAGAGCAGATTGATGGAAAATGTGAAGAGAGTTTTCTCCAGTGTTCGCAGAGAATTTTTTGTTCGTGCAGAGCCAGTGGAAACTATGCCCCAAACTACGAGAATCTTCATAAATTGATGTTTGCCAACACGATTGTTTTCTCTGTTGTTTGTTTGTGCTTGAGCTATTAGACAATTTGAATACAGAAATTGCAGAGGGAGGGAGGGTCTACTGCTTCATCTACTCTAGAATTGTTTTCCCCTTTTCGTTCTCCTATTTCCGATTTCTGCTACTTGTGGGTAGATGCTCTAAAGAGGGGGCATCAAAAGCTTCAAACATTCGTGGAAATCCTGTAGCTGACTTTGCTTTATTTCTAGGCCAATAACTTGCAGTCCTGTCCCTACGTTCAAGCTTCCCATCAGCAGAGATTCGCGCATGCACACAATGCCAGGATTCCAGGACTTCATTCGCTGTTGTCGTCGTTGTCGTTGCCATTGCCCGTCCATTCATCAACATGGATTATCAAAGGCAATAAATTAGACGAAGCCACGGCACATTCCTAGAGGTAGACAGAGAGCGAGTCCTCTTGCCCCACCAGCAGCAGTCGCAGGAGGGGGGAGCAGAAGCTGTAAGGATAAACATGGGAATGTTTTGTGCTTCTTGCAGCGTCAGAAGTTTTCTTATGAATTTGATGAATGGAGTTGTAAATTCCCAAAGAGTTGTGAGCCCCAAAAAAAGAAAAAGTAGCGACACAAAACGAATCGAGACGAGACGAGGGTTCCTCCCTCCGCCCCGTCCATTTTGGCGGCTGTCAAAAGTTGTTTCAATGTCGCCATGACTCACGTAGGCCTTTTCTGCCACCTTGCCAGCACCTCTGAAACTGGCAACAGCCTCGCTCTCTGATGGCAACCTATTCTGTCCATCAGGGTTCTCTCGTCAGCCAGCGAAGCCGCTCTATGCCACATGCCACACACGTCAGACGACGACGACGACGACGACGGAGGAAAATATATTTTGTGTTATTGTTCGGGGAATACTCCGCCCTTCTCAAGCGCATAGAAGAAAAAGAGTGAAAGCGAGAGACGCATTTGGAAAATTAAACATTTTCCAAATTTTTCTTCGGGTTTTTTTGTGTTTCGGTTTCTCGTTATTTGCAACAAAAGGACGTCTGTTTGGTCGCCGCTATCGACTGTTCTTTATTATTTATGTTAATTGCTTGTTTTGTGCGTGTTTTCTTGCGTTTTTGTCTTCGTTTTTTGTGGCAGAGAGACCGCAGTTTTTGGTGCCTCCTTTTTGTAGATTGATTTTGTAGATGGAATGGAAAACGCGTTGCACTTGACGCGCCTGACCTCCTGACTCCACTTCGTCGAGGGCTTTCGATGTGTGACTCTCCTTTGACTGCCGTTTGACTTGTTGTATTGTTGTGCCGCTTGAGTGGCGCTTGGAGACGCATTGTGGATGAGACGACTCTGTGTGTGTTTGTGCGTCTGTCTGGGGCGTGACAGCGTCAAGTGTCGTCCCTACGAAGAGTTGTGGGTTCTGTCGCTGGCAATTTGGCACGTCTTTGACACAGAACAAAGTAAATCCCTCTTCCAAGTGTTGGATACACATCTAATTGATGCCACCAGAATCTGAGAGAGTGAGGAGAAATACGACATCTCTCCCCCGACACTTGCCCCAACATTCTCTGACTGGCAGGCATCTCTTAATTATATAGAAACCGCATTCAAGGGTGGCTGGGATGCTGAGGCAAGCCACTTTGTGGCCATTAACAGTGGTGGGGCACAGACATTGGGCTCACTAATTAAAACTAAAAGCATTGCTGGAGAAGAGAGGGAAAGGTGCATCTTGGCTGTAACCAAAGAATGAATAAGGAGAAAGCTAACGCGAAAGTTCAACCTCCGAGAGGTAAATGAATAAATGAATGGCCAGGGATTTATTAGCTTCTGGATTTATATAATTTTAGCGTAGGTTTAGCGGCTCTCGCGTATTCCTTAATTTAGTTTCTCTATTGCTACTCCCCTCTCGTCTCTCTCTCTCTCCTTTTTACGACCTCCTGCCATGCGGCAGTGTCATAAATTCTGAATTTTTGTTGCCGCTGTTGGTTTTTTTTTTAATGGGTGCAGCAGACATTTGAGTGGACATTTTGGACATTTCGAAATTACTTGAAGGAAATTGCTTATCAATTAAATTGATTTCTCGTTCATTAAATTTCCATTGTTGTTGTTTTCGTTGTTGTTGCTGCCCATGACCTTGCCTGTTGACAAATCTGTTTTTTGTGTATTCCCTTTTCAGTTAATCGCCCGACAACAAAAATTATATGCCGAAATCAAAATTCAAGCGCTTCCTTCCAGTAGCTGCCATCCTCCGTCTACGTTCGGTATCCCTACCGAGGCGAGGAGAAGTGCTAATCGATTTCTGAACGATTTGTTCCGCATTGTTGTCATCGTTCAGAGATAGAGAGGGGGAGGCTAATGCTATTGTTTGTACCCTAGAGAAGATTGATTGATGGATGGGCATGATAATTTCCAACAAATTTGTGAAGCTAAATCAGAAGAGCATTTGGTGGAAGAAAATATAAGCAGAGAAGGGAGGGAAGGTAGAGAAGATACAAGCACGTTTTGATTTTCATCGTTATTGATGACTTTCCTTCTTCAACTAACTCCTTACTGTCTTCTGCTCTTGCTCTGTCTTTTTGAAGGAAACATTCTGCTCATTTGGGAAAATATTGCACAAAAAAAAGCCACTAAACGTGGCATAAAAGTTATTTTAGCGTAAAATTCTGTGCATTTCTATGAAATTTTAGCATGTTCTAAACCTTAACATTCACATTCTCATTTTTAATTTATAAACTTTAAATTCTGTAGATATTTTGTAGATTTTTTCAACCCAAATACCAGAATTTCATTTATCTCTCACAGGAACACAGGGTACATCCCAAGTCTTTGCATTCATTTTTCTGTACTTCTATTCTGCTTCAGTGCAGCTTGTTGTCCCACTGATTGGTGCTTGCACTTGGCCCCGTGCCCCGTGTGTGTTGGAGGAGTGCATTCCCCTTCTGGCATTGACTTTGACCTTGCCCCCAGAGGCAACACAGGCTGCCATCCTGTTCCTCGTTGTCGTTTTTGCTGCTTACCTTGTGTGGAAATTATCCATGCCGCTGCCGCAGTAGAGCGGCGCTGTTTCATTGTTTCCACTTGACATGGTTCCCAGTTGTTGTAGCCTCAGATGTTGTTGCAATTTTGTTGTTTTTGTTGCTGTTGTTGTCGGTCTATTGTGATGATTTCTGGCTCTCACTCAGTGCATACGTTGCAGCATGGTGGGGCATCAAGGGGCTGCCAAGGACAGCAGCAGCGTGGACGATGCATCAAATATGTTGCATTAATAATTAATAAACGGGGAAAACTATCCACAGCAGAACGGCGAGGGGGGAGAGCCGAGTGACCTGCAAGAGAGACAGAGTGTAAATGAGAGTGGGGAGAGGCAGAGACAATTAAAAATTCCGTGCAACACGACGTATAATTAATGCGAGTTGTAATTTGTTGCTTCATATGCATCTAACCAACCGCACCCAGGGGCATCCTGGGTTATTAAATATCATGCCCCAACGGTGCAACAAGATGTGGCATGTGGCATGGCCCTTGTTGCAACACTGGCGCTCCTGTTGCAGTTGCTTGCCTTTAAGACGATTAGCGAAGCTGCCCATTCATTCCACATCCGCATGCTGCCACAGGAATGCGCTTTTTTTTTGTATTTTTTGATACACTCCACTCAAATTTCAGCGCCTGCTGCTGCGGTTGCAACTTAATTAGCAGCAACAGGGGGCCAGACAGGTCCAGGATGACACAGTGGGTGAAAAGTTAGGGAAAAAAGGAAAATGTGTATGGGAAATGCTTGCATTTATGCTCTGGCTACCCTGTAAAATTAGTTGTAAAACTAATTTTTGCAACTGTTTCCTTTTATTGAATTTTTTCATTACAAAACTCATCAGATAAATCAATTAAGATTAATTTCGACTGCTTTAAGTACTCTAAAAGAGCTTCTAACTCAAGAAAATCCTCCATAAGTAGCAACAAAAACAAATAGCCCCAAGAGAAACGAAAAACCTGCGGTTACGCCTGAGAAGTTGTTCAAAATAAGTTATTTTGTTTAATAATTCATCTTAAAATACCAACATAAAGAGCAGAATACAAAAACAAATGCCTCAGCCTGTCAGATAATGCCCCAGCATGACGCTGATGAATAAACTGAATTAGCCCCATAGATAGATCTAGAGGCGAACTCATCAGAGGGGAGTGGCGGTAGGGCAGGAGGAGGAACACTGGACCACAGCTGACAGACAGACAGACAGACAGGCGGACAGACAAACATTACTCGCAGGAATCGCTGGACTGAATGCAGGACTGGAATCTAAAATGTATCTATAGGGCATTTTTAGTGCCTTCGTGGCGCTGCAAATTAGATTCATTTTGCTGAAGCTCTGTAGCCGGGATGCTGGGAAGCTGGGAAGCGTGACCTAAGCACACAGAACGTAGATAAACGCTCTACGCTTTTGCTGCTGCTGGTTTCTTTTTTCGAGAGGAGGAAATCTCTTGGTTTTTTTGTTTTTTTTCATCCCATATTTCTTTCTGGCTCTTGTGGTCGCTGGAGCTCTGGTCGCGGGCATGTTGCAATATGTTATCTGTCATGTGTGCAGCGCCTGCCTCTTGCCTCTGTCTGTATTTTCTCTTTCTCTAATTCTGTAACTGGTATTCCAGCGTATCTCTGGACTCTCTCTCTCTCTCTGCCTGTCCGTTCGTTGTGGCTGCAACAATTTTTTTTTGCGCAAAGATTTTAATTGCATTGGTTAGGCAGGGGGCTGCAAGTGGCAGATTGAATAAGGTAGGAGGAAGAGGAGCAGCAGGAGTCGAAAGGAATACCAGTAGCAGCCGAGCAGCCGAGCAGCAGCAACAGCCGCTGTAGAAACACAGAATGTGGCTGCAATTAACACGTTCCATGAGGCGCAAAGACCGCAAAGCCAACACACTGCTTAAATATGCATACGATGTGGCAGGATACACAGAAGACACTTCAGAGATGGAAACACCACAGATGGGAAAAGAGAAACGAGAGAAAAGAGAGAGTGGGAGACAGCTAAAGTATAGAAGTATATTGGAGAATAAATGCCTTGCGCTAATGTGTTTATGTTCGTGTCGCGAAACCCTTGTACGTAATTAGATTTGCAAATTTTCCTGCCTCTCCTTTTCCTTCGCCGTTTTTTCAATCGTTTTTTGGCATGTAAATGAGGCAAACGCTTAAAATTAGGATCTTCGGGGGCTCATTTTCGAAAATTAAATGACATTTAGCCATGGGTAAAGCGGAGGGTGTAAACGAGTGGAAATTAGGTGGAAATTCAATTTGTATTTAATATGGAAATTAGTTGGGCAACTGCGGGAAATGCAAGAGGGTACAGCAGAAGTTAACTCAGAGAGGGGAAAATTGTGTTTTGGTATCGATTCGTATATAGGAATTAATTAAGGAAATTTATCATTATTTTAAATGCATTTGAAGCAAAGAATTCCTCGATAAGAAAACACAGAAATTAATTGATTGATGGGAACAGCTGCTATGACGGATGAACAGATGAATTGATTCACACAATTGTAGCTTTCTCTCATTCATTTATTTCTATATAAAAATAACAAATAAAAGAAATGGCAAAAACAGAACTACCGGCAGTCACAGAAGCTGCAGGCAAAATATTAATTAAAATCTGTTGCTGGATGTTCGTTTAATCATCATTCGATTATATAAATTAATTGCCGACATACATCTCTCGCTATCTCACTCGTATTTCATAACAGAACAATCCACACAACAATTGAGGATACACTTAATGTGATACAGATACAGACACAGATAAAGATACAAAGAGCGGGCATGGCAGTGCCACTGCAATCTACTCGTTTGGGGAAATCAACGGGAAATCGAAATCATTTACGTTTTAATTGTAGAATTTCTCTCTCACTTTCTCGCCTTCTGTGAGTAAGTGGGTGACAGAGATGACAGCTGAAATGATTAATGAATTAATGAAAGAATCAAGGAAATGAATGGCAGCTTGACGTTTCGCCCGCAATTGTATGCTATATAATTTTAACTCAACTATACGGTAAAAGGATACATTATCCCAATGCCACATTTTGTGGCAACAATCTCTGATGACAGCTTCAACAGATTGGCACAGAGACGGAAGAGACTGAGAGTAAGAAAGAGGGTGGAATCAAGAATCAAGCCAGCTTGTTTCTGCAGCCAAAGAAACTTAATTTTGCGCATGAAAAGCCTTCTAATGGAAAAGTAAAGACTTGAATTCAATTTTCCGGCATACATTTCCACGGCCTACACTTCAGTGACCACACAAACAGCAGAGGCCGCATCAGTTCTGGAAAAACACAGGTGGAAGGCAGTCGAGAGGGAGAGCAACACAGGTAGAAAGCAGCCAGAACGAGAGCTACAGCCACACAGCTGGAAACCACCCGATGAGTGTGAGAGAGAGGAGAGCGAAAAATTGAAATCAAAACTGATTTCCACATAAAGCAGGAGGCTGAGTGCTGCTGTGGTCGCTGGGGAGGCAAAAAGGGGAGAGAATGATAACCACCAGCACGCCCATCTTCCCACTGATGATGATGAGAACCCGCTGATGTCACGGCCGTATTGTCCATCTTTTGAATGTATGCACGGGGCAGCGGCAGCAGCAGCGAGGTAGGGGCAGGCGCCACAGATAAACAGGGAACCAGATTGAGGCTTTCAGTCAGGGAAAAGACAGCGACAGATGCGCGAAAAATTGAACATCCATATGCCACAGAACGAAGTGAACCACAGCGCCAACCCCCAGCAGCAGCAGCAGCAGCAGCATCCCCTGGCTGTCTGGACTTTGTGTTAAGGACAGGAACCAACTGGGAAAAGGACAAATGAAAAACGAGGCACCAACAGAACTGATTCCTGGCAGAGATTTATGTGCGAGTCCCCCCACCCGCCTTGAAGGTTGCGTCTTCCGGGTCCTTTTTTTATTTGCAGTTTTTCAAAATAATATTTACTTACGATATTGATTATTGATTGATTGTTATTGGTCTCCTCCGGCTACTTTGCTCTCCGACTGCTACCCTATGTTTGCCCTGCTACCCTGTTTATTTATTTACAATTTTTGTTTGCTTCGTGTCCGCGTTTTGCCCTTCTTTTTCTTGTACTTCAAGCAAGCAATGCACTCGGAAAATATTCTGACACTTGGAGTACACTTTTAGTTGCTCAAAATATTATCCCTTACTTCCAGTTTCTCTCAGTATCATTGAATGAGTGAGGCGCTCCCTTCTGCAGTGAAAGTGTAAGTGACTGAAATGTAACTACGGGAAAATCTTTTCTGTCTCTGGGCAAGGTATTGAAGGGAAAGTAGCAGCAGCTCCTTCCTTCCTTGCGATGACAGCTCTCCCGCTCTGCCACTGAGAAGATGGACAGCTGGAAGATGGAGTTGTGGCCCATGGAATTGGTTGGCTTTTGTTTGGGTTTGAGGCTTTGTGGAGCGGAGGGGGCGGTGGCAGTAAGTGTTGTTACATCCAGCCAAAAGTTGATCAAATTTTGCAAAATAAAGTGTTTTCGTTAACCAAGTTGGAAACCAAGTTTGCTTTTCCATTGCTATCAATCTGCTGGAGTGGCTTAAAGCAGACGAATTGAATGGTGGAAATATCCACCCCTTTGGAGGAGCTGGCTTTCCATTAGATATTCCGCAGGAACAACAAAAAGATAAAATTTTGTGGAGCAAGCAGCAACGCAGCCTCATTATCACTGAGGATGCAACGCATGCGAGTATGGTGCATGCAACGTGGTTTGCTGTGGCAACAGCCAGGGGCCAAGGACAAGAAAATGCATTAGGCCCCAAGACCCTCACCCCAGCGACTGGTACCAGGGGACTTTGTCTCTTTCCTACAAACCTCTCTGAATGGGTCTCATTTTGTCACGACGATGAGTTGATGTTAATGGCACTTAAACATACAACAAGCACACGCACACACACGCTACATAAACGCGTTTCTATGAGCCAGTCATGAGTGTAATAGAGGGCAACCGAGGAGTAGCCAGAGGGCGCCGCCCCAGACACACACAGAGATCCATAAATACATTTTGATACAAGAATCCTCCACAAATATTTGTGTCAGGATGTCAGTAGCGAAGAAGTCCTTTTGACTTCCCAACAAATATCCTGTCGAAAGTTTTTTCCTCTCCTTTTTGTTGTTTTGTTTTTGTTTTCGCTTTTCTTCTTCCGCTCGGGTAACAGAAGTTTTTCTTATTTGCTGAAAATCTGTTTGGTTCGATGTAATTAGACGGGGGGAAATTGAGAGAATTGGAGAGAGAGTAACTTTGGGACTAGCCTTGTCACGACAAATATCTCTCACAAACTCTCATTCTCCTACCTGT